TATAAAAACAAAAAAGGCAACGTTGAATCACTACTATTCTGGTAGTATTTGAAGTAAATTTCGAGCAATAAACTCAAATTGAAAGGAAATGTAGCTTTGACATTCATCTGCATGGTACCAAATAATCACATGTATACTGAATTACATGTCGCCAAATATAAAAATTTAAATATTTTGATCATTTTTTTCCCTCTCTCTTGCGTAATTGCCTGTTCTGTTCTCTTGTCAGCATTTGGATATTGCAAAACCGATTCAACAATCGTAATGGAAATTGTAGGGCGCCGGTATGAGTACAAAACAAGAACTGTTACGAGCAAAAATTTTCAGCGAAAGACTAATTGTTAACGTAAAGGTCGTAAATTATCCTCAGAGTTTAACGCGGACCCCAACGTCATTTCTCTTATTATACATGGAAGTTTACTCCATTTAGAAGTAAAAAAAGTCAATATACACCGAAGTGCCAAGAGCAAATGACGTTAATTTTTAGTTAGCACTACTTTTGATTTGCATAACGGAAAAAAATTGTCATCCGAGTGAGCAACTTTAGCAAGCTTTGTTGTGCGCCATTGTTTATCAAGTGTAGTGAAAGACTTTTCTCCCCGACGCTAAATAAATGGTTGAGAGAAAGACTCTCTTTGCGTTGAAGACGTAAAAACATAACATTGATTTCACCTTTCTCTGATCGGATCATATACTCAAGATAAAATAATCTATTTTTCTCCTTTATGTGCAAGTTAAACAATTGACATACAACCTCAAGTTGATAAGTAGTACTACAGCAACACGATGGTTAAAATTTTTTGGTTCTTGATGGACGCATAAAAAAGTCACAATTTTCGAAGTTGCCCATGGCCGTTTCGTTTCTGACTCATGACAAGAAAGAATTAAAATTAACCTATGACTTAAGGTAGGTCTCGCTCAGTTTTCAAATTAACATCAAAAACATATAAAACATAAAGGGCAACCTAGTACATAGATGGGAAATTTAGTAAAATAAATTGCTTCAGATGTCAATGTTGTCATCTCTGTTTTTTATGATTTTAGGATAAAAATTATACACCGACATATTTCTCTTGAGTTTTTATATTTTTGTTAATTTTTGCATTTTTAATAATGCTTGTGAGTTAATAAACAATATTTTAACATAAAGAAGGTAAGGCGCACATGCTTTAAGATTTGACTCAATAGCTTTGATTGTGTAAACAATCATTAATTTTTGTATAAAGAATGTGTCATTATGGACTCTGTATCTAGAAAAACTCCTTATCTCTCAAAATGACAGGCCTTTACTCCTGTCTGTTATCTGTAGGGTCTCTTAACTCTTCGTATTGATAATTTTACCCCACAACTAAACATATTCTCATCATACTACATTGAGAAATATATGCCCTTGCAGTGTTAAACACACCAATGACTATAAATTATACTTATTGCAATTGATGGGGTGTAAAGCACAAGTGTTACAGGGAAACTTATACTTTTCACAAATTTACTACACTCGACTTGGTGATCTATAGTGCTACAGTCGTTTAAACAAGAAAATGTTTTCGGAACAAGATATGAGCCCCTTGAAAAATATTTGCTGTTTCCTTTTTCCATTTCTTAGAGCCATTTGAATAAGTAGGAATTATCGTGCAGCAACCTGATTTGTCAGCAACCTGTATTTAGAATTAATCCAATGAAAAACTGATCATCCATGGCAATCTCAACATTTTATAAAAGCCACTAATTTTGCAAAGCATTGCAAAAACCTAATAGCATTAAATAAGGCCTGCAAACGGGAGGTTGCAAGAATATTAGGAAAATTATACCTAGCATCCCAGGTATGTTTATAATTTAGTTTTATGTATATGTTAAAAGAGATTTAGAATATTCTTGCTCCTAAATATATATTGAAGTGCATTACATTTTTCTAAATTTGCATCGAACTTTAAGAAACAAACCTTTTTTATCCATTTTAAAATAACTCTATCAAATTGACTGTATATAAGAGAAGCTAACTAGATAAATGCTCAGGGTGGTTAAACGGCTTAAAAGAAGATCATTGCTCCAAATAAATACCAATTTCAACAGAAACAGCTTTAACTAATTTTATAAACATTCCTAGAATTGTTTTTTTTTTAAATCTAGCCAAATATAATTCAAGAAGAATTCATGATTTTTAAACACAAAAGACTTAAAAAATTTTGTCTGAAATTTTAAAAACCTTGAAAGTTACATTCAAAACATACAAAAATAAACAATAACATACCAAAACGGTTCGAAGATTTAGTAACAGCAAGTTGATCCAAAGCAACTGATTTTTTTTGAATTGCCTGCGCTTTTTCATAAAATTCTTTTGCTTTGTCAATTTCTTTTGTAGAATGATACACATTACCAAGATTGTTTAAAGTCGTAGATACATCAACATGTTCAGGACCTAGTGATTTTTGTTGTATTTCCAACGCTTTTTCGTAAAATTCTATTGCTTTGTCATATTCTTTAGTACAATGGTACACATTGCCAAGATTGTTTAAAGTCTTTGCTACATCAACATGTTCGAGACCAAGTGATTTTTGTTGAATTTTCAACGCTTTTTCGTGAAATTCTTTTGCTTTGTCATATTCTTTAGTACAATAATACACATTACCAAGATTATTAAAAGTCGTAGCTACATCAACATGTTCAGGACCTAGTGATTTTTGTTGAATTTCCAATGCTTTTTCATAACAATCTTTCGCTTTGCCATATTTGTTGGTCTTATAATACACATTACCAAGATAGTTTAAAATCAAAGCTACATCAACATGTTCAGGACCAAGTGATTTTTGTCTAGTTTCCAACGCTTTTTTATAACACTCTTTGGCTTTGGAATATTTGTTGGTATCATAATACACATTACCAAGACTGTTTAAAGTGGTGGCTACATCATCATGTTCCTGACCTAGTGATTTTTCTTGAATTTTTAACGCTTTTTCATACCTTTTTTCGGCTTTGGCATGTTTGTTGGTCCTATAATACACATTACCAAGATTGTTTAATATCGTAGATACATCAACATCTTCAGAACCAAGGAGTTTTTCTCGAATTTTCAACGCTTTCTCATAACATTCTTTGGCTTTGGCATATTTGTTGATATCATAATACACATTACCAAGACTGTTTAAAGTCGTAGCTACATCAACATGCTCAGGACCAAGTGATTTTTGTCGAATTTCCAACGCTTTTTCATAACACTCTTTGGTTTTGGCATATTTGTTAGTCTTATAATGCACATCACCAAGATTGTTTAAAGTCGTAGCTACATCAACATGTTCAGGACCAATTGATTTTTGTCGAATTTCCAGCGCTTTTTCATAACACTCTTTGGCTTTGGCATATTCGTTGGTCTCATAATACACATTACCAAGATTGTTTAAAGTCGAAGCTACATCAATATGTTCAAGACCAAGTGATTTTTGTCGAATTTCCAACGCGTTTTCATAACACTCTTTGGCTTTGGCATATTCTTTAGTACTATCGTACACATTGCCAAGCTCGTGTAAAGTCATAGCTACATCAACATGCTCAGGACCAAGTGATTTTTGTCGCATTTCCAACGCTTTTTCATAACACTCTTTAGCTTTGCCATATTTGCTGTTCTTATAATACACATTACCAAGATAGTTTAAAGTCGAAGCTACACCAACATGTTCAGGACCAAGTGACTTTTGTCTAATTTCCAACGCTTTTTTATAAGACTCTTTGGCTTTGGCATATTTGTTAGTCTTAAAATACACATTACCAATATAGTGTAAAGTCGAAGATACATCAACATGTTCAGGACCAAGTGCTTTTTGTCTAATTTTCAACGCTTTTTTATAAAACTCTTTGGCTTTGGCGTATTTATTGGCATCATAATACACATTACCAAGATTGTTTAAAGTCGTAGCTACATCAACATGCTCAGGATTAAGTGATTTTTGTCGAATTTCCAACGCTTTTTCATAACAATCTTTTGCCTTGGCATATTTGTTGGCATCATAATACGCATTACCAAGATTGTTTAAAGTCGTAGCTACATCAACATGTTCAGGATTAAGTGATATTTTTCGAATTACCAACGCTTTTTCAAAACACTCTTTGGCTTGGGCATATTCTTTAGTATGGTAATACACATTACCAAGATTGTTTAAAGTTGTAGCTACATCAACATGTTCAGGATTAAGTGATTTTTGTCGAATTTCCAACGCTTTTCCATAACACTCTTTGGCTTGAGCATATTCTTTAGTATGGTAATACACATTGCCAAGCTTGTTTAAAGTCGTAGCTACATCAACATGTTTAGGACCAAGTGATATTTTTCGAATTTCCAAAGCTTTTTCATAACACTCTTTGGCTTGGGCATATTCTTTAGTATGATAATACACATTACCAAGATTGTTTAAAGTCGTGGCTACATCAACATGTTCAGGACTAAGTGATATTTTTCGAATTTCCAAAGCTTTTTCATAACACTCTTTGGCTTTGGCATTTAAGTTGGTATCATAATACACATTACCAAGAATGTTTAAAGTCGTAGCCACGTCAATATGTTCGGGACCTAGTGATTTTTTTCGAACTTCCAGCGCTTTTTCATAACACTCTTTGGCTTTGGCATAGTTGGTGGTCTCATAATACACATTACCAAGATTGTTTAAAGTTGTAGCTACATCAACATGTTCAGGACCAAGTGATTTTTGTCGAATTTCCAACGCTTTTTCATAACACTCTTTGGCTTTGTCATGTTTGTTAGTATCATAATACACTTTACCAAGTATGTTTAAAGTCGTAGCCACGTCAACATGTTCAGGACCTAGTGATTTTTGTCGAATTTCCAGCGCTTTTTCATAACATTCTTTGGATTTGGCATATTTGTTGGTCCCATAGTACATATTACCAAGATTGTTGAAAATCGTAGCTACATCAACATGTTCAGGACTTTGTGATTTTTGTCGAAATTTCAACGCTTTTTCATAACACTCTTTGGCTTTGGCATATTTGTTGGTATCATAATACACATTACCAAGAATGTTTAATGTCATAGCTACATCAACATGTTCAGGACTTAGTGGTTTTTGTTGAAATTCCAATGCCTTTTCGTGAAATTCTTTTCATTTGTCATATTTTGTAGTACGATGGTACACATCACCAAGCTTGTTTAAAGTCGTACCTACATAAACATGTTCAGGATCAAGTGATTTTTGAGTCAAGTTGATTATATGAAAATTAAACTTTAATTCGTAACATTGGAAAGGCTATTATATGATTTGACAAATAATGCATCATTAATTGTGTGTTAAATGAGCGTCTGATAAAGATCAGGTAAACGTTGTATGAACGTCTGATGTATGTTTTATGAACGTCGGATAAACGTTGTATGAGCGTTGGATAAACATCTTACGAACGTCGGATAAACGTTGTATGAACGTTGTATAAACGTCGGATTTAGATTGAAAATACGTTACATCCCAACGTTCATCCTAACGTTGCCACTACGTTCCTACGAGCTCACAAAAAAACGTTCACTCAACGTTGGCCCCCGACGTTGAGTAGACTTTCAACAAACGTTGGTACAACGTTGAGACAACGTGATTTTGCTTGCTGGGTAAAAGGAAAACCCTCGGAAAAGAGTTCAATTATGCAGACGATACAAAATAAAAATGATTTATTTTTACTGACAGAAACTAGAAAAGTGAAAGCCAACCCTTTCAAAAAAGCAGGAACGAGAAAGAAATCAAGCTTTGTTTCATGTCAATTAATGACATATATAATAAACATTTTTATAACCTTGCTTTCACGATCTTTACTTTACTACGGGCTCGGTTGGTGCAAAAAGAACTCAGTCGGATAATTCTCCTTAAAGACCTCGAGCTCAGTTATTAAGGGCTTAAGATACATCAAAAAATTTCTCAATTCTGGAATCTCGTATATTACAATTGAATTGACATTTAATATAAACGACAAGTTTTTTGAAAATAGACATGTTTCGACATCTCATGATGCCATCTTCAGTATGAGTGAAATAATAGGTGATACAGGGTTTAAATAAAAGTAATATGATACATAAATTACAACAATTAAAAGGAAATAAGATAACTTAATTAAGAGCGTCCGAGCGTATTATAAACTAAATATTCTATTGAATTTAAAAACTTGAACATTGAGGTCAGGGTCAGTTTTGTTAATGTAGATTGCTTCTTTGATTTTGAGGGTGAATGAGGTGTCGGCAGTGTCGATGATTTTGAAACAAGAGGGTGAATAGTTGGTTTAGCATGAGTGAGATTTAAGAAGGTATCGGTAGATATGAGAGTTTTTTTGTCTGTTGTGGTATGTTCCCTCATTCTGGTGGATAAATGGCGCGAAATTTCGCCAATGTATCGGGAATTACATCCCGCGCAATTGAATTCATATACCACCATAGATTTAATTGAATCAGGGATTGGGTCTTTAAATGAGAAAAGGTTTTTGATTTTGAATGACGTGAAAATAAGTCGAATGTCAATATCTGTACAGAAGCGTCTCATAATGTTTGTAAGTCTGCGTTGTGTTCGTGAGTAATGTCCGATGTATGGTAGTTTGAAGTATAGAGTTGTTATTTTGGAATTTTCATTTGTGTTGGTTGTGATCGTCGTGTCAGGAGTTTCGGTGTCTATGTTGAGGTTGTTGCTATGTTTGCTGTCGAGATATCGTTTTACGGTTCTGTTAATAAAGTGAAGTGGGAAAGAGTTTCGTAAGAGTGGATGTGATGTTTTTTATGTCTCGTTGAAAGCCATTGTTCGTATTGTTAAGTTTGTATGCTCTGTCGATTAGTGTGCGTATAAGACCGGTTTTGAATGAAAGTGGTGTGAAACTAAAATGGTTCGTCAGAAAACCTGTGTACGTTGGTTTGTGGTATGTAGATGTTGTACAGCTGTCGTGAGATTTTGTTAGTAAAATGTCAAGAAATGGCAGTAAATCTTGTTGTTCAGTTTCAAAAGAAAATCTAATGTTTGCGTGCTGTGTGTTAATGTATTTATAAAACTTCATGGCCTCAGTTTCGTTAGTAAAAACACAAAAAATATCGTCAACGTATCTGCGGTAAAATAGTGGTTTAGTGTCGTTGTAGTTGTTTAGCCAGTTTCGTTCATGTGAACCAGCGGCGGATCTAGAGTATGTCAAATCCGTCGCGCGACTGATGTTTGAAATTCAAAAATTACCTATTCATATTAATTAAAAATTCATTAATTATTCTTACTTTATTATCGCATTTACTTCGTGATAAAAATCCCGCATTATTTATTATTGAAAACTAATGACTAATCCAATGAATATCTCGTTGGTAACCAGATCAGTTGAATTTTAATTGACCTGGAATTACCGACTGATAAGCCGGGTGGCTTGACTGGTTCGACGGATAAAGCAGTCTATGAACGTCAAAAACGCTTATTTTATTGGTCAATAGCCAGATCAGTGGACAGTCTGGAATGGTCTCGACTGATAATAAGGGTGGCCGGACGTATAAGGGAGTCCAATTGCTATCTTACAATTGGTTCATTTGAATTTTTGCTTTATTGTGGTTGGTTTGACGGATTTCGACTGATAGCCAACTGAACTAACATATATGTTTGTAAATGATGATTGTCCAGGTTAATAAAGTCCTGAGAAGGACTGTTTTTGTTGTTGTTGACTGACGTTTCGACAACCTTAGCGGTAGTCATCTTCAGAGTCAAATGAGGAGTAAACGTCAGGTTAGCCGTATTTGTTGTCTGGTTCTTACGTCATTGTATTGTGTGTACAGGAAATGTGCAGGAAATGTGTATTGTCATTGTGGATTAGTGTGAAGTGAAATATTTTATTTTTAGTTGTGATGTGTGATTTAGGTGTGACGTTTTAGTTGTAGTGTGTGGGTGTCAATTGTGTATTGTCATTGTGAATTAGTTTGAAGTGTAATGTTTTTAGTTGATCGTTTTTTTGTATTGTGAATAAGTCGTTTGTAAGGTGCCGGTAATTGCTGTGATCTGTTCAGGGGGGTTTGTTCCAAGGTGGTATACCAACTTTCTAATGTAAGCCGTTGTCTATAGTCAGTACTGTAAGTGATGCATTTTGCCGAGTCCCAGTCAATGTTGTGCTTTGTGATTCGGTGATGTTCGGCAATGTGATTAGTTTTGTCTTGTTTCTTAGTGCTCAGTAAGTCTTATGTTTAAGTTCCTGCCAGTTTCCCCGATATAGGAGGCGTGGCAGTCGGAGCAGTTTATTTTGTAAACTGCACCTTGTCGTTCGTTGGGTTGTTCTTTGTCCTTTATGTTCGTTAGTACTTGCCGTAACGTTGTGATTGGTTTATGTGCGACACGTATGTTGTATGGTCGTAAGATACGCGAGATAGTCTCAGACGTACCTTTGATGTAAGATATCGTTGCTGTTGTCACTGAGTTGTTCGTTTCGTTGGGTTCGTTGGGTTTGTAAGTGTTGCGTTTGATAAAGTCAGAGTTATAGTTGTTTTTGTCAAAAACACGTTTGAGATAGTTGTTTTCGTTTTGTAGAGCGTCCGGTGAATCACATATGATTCGTGCACGTCTTGTTAATGTTCTGATTGTGGTGGCTTTGAGTGATGTAGGGTTGTAAGATGATTGGTCTAGTAGTCGGTCAGTATGTGTTGGCTTGCGATAAACTGTTGTTCCTAGTTTTTGATTGTCATGTTTTACCAAACAGTCGAGAAAAGGAAGAGTTCCGTTTTCTTCGACATCTTTGGTAAATTGTATGTGGCTGTTCTGTTTGTTGATGTGAGTATGGAAGTCATCAATCTCGTCTGCATGTAGTGCTGTGATTGTGTCATCTACGTAGCGAAACCAAAAAGGTAGTGCATGTTTGTAAGTCATGAGTGCCCCATTATTAACCTGGACGATCATCATTTACAAACATATAACGATACTCCCGGGTTCAAACCATTTACTTTATTACGATCATTTGGACGACAGAGCGAACAACTTGCTAACGACTACATACGTTTTGCAAGCAACGTCAGACGCATACGCCAACAACTCTGGTTCAACCACTGCTGCAAGGATTTTGGTCTCGCTCCAGCAGGACTTAGAATTAAGTCTCCGTTGAACACACAAGAGGCTATTCAGATTGTCAAATCTACCAGCAGACGACTGATACGAGCACGGATTAACGACTGTCACAGACGAATCAACTATTACATCAAACAACAAGAACAAAGACTGAACAAACTGAAGGAACTCATACCAACGACAGTAAGTGATACTTTACTTTCTACCATACAAACTATTGCAGAGAAACGAGCAAACAAGACAGAGACACAGCACCAAATCAAACAACAACAAAAACTTGAACGTTTAAAACAAACTAAAACACGTGCAAGACATAAACATGACGATAACTGGGTGAGGAATATTTCTTCCCGCCCATTAGACGAAACTGAAACGCGACTACTATCTTACGGACTAAAACATTCCATAACACCTAGACAAATCCCAACTGAGACGATAGTAACAAGTGTCGAGGCTGTCCTAGCGTATCAAAGAGACTTGTCAGAGACAACCAAAGACGAGATCAGAAGCAGGATAGCCTCCACTTTACAATCGTCCTCTATACGTGACAACAACTTGACAAAAGACGAACAACAAGCACTCAAACGACTAAAACACGACAACAACATCGTCATTTTACCAGCAGACAAAGGACGCGTGACTGTGGTCATGGACAGAAATGATTACTTTAACAAAATGGACGCACTTGTCAACGACAGACAAACGTACGAACAACTCAAACGAGACCCAACACCATCACTAGTACGCAAACTTAACAGCAAGATCTTCTCTATGAGAAAATCCAACATTATATCTGAACGTATTTACTATTGACTCAGATGTTCAGTACCACGACCACCCAGACTATACGGACTACCAAAACTTCACAAACCACAAATACCCATGCGACCAATTGTATCATTCTGTGGTTCGCCTACTTACGAACTTTCAAAGTACTTGACTAACATACTGCAACCACTTACAAACAAATCAAAACACAACTACAATCCACTGAAACTTTCATTAAAAAACTCTGCACTATACAAATACCGGACAACTATATACTACTGTCTTTTGATGTGAAATCACTGTTCACCAGTATTCCACTTAATCTGGCACTTACTTGTACAAAAACCCTCATTACAAACACCACGGACGTACTGCCATTACCGACAGAAGACATTATGGAGTTACTAGAGCTCTGCCTCACCTCGACTTACTTCCAATACAAAGGAACACACTACAAACAATTACATGGGACAGCAATGGGCTCGCCCGTTTCTGTTGTAGTTGCTGAAATTGTAATGCAATCTATAGAGGAACGGGCACTCATGACTTACAAACATGCACTACCTTTTTGGTTTCGCTACGTAGATGACACAATCACAGCACTACATGCAGACGAGATTGATGACTTCCATACTCACATCAACAAACAGAACAGCCACATACAATTTACCAAAGATGTCGAAGAAAACGGAACTCTTCCTTTTCTCGACTGTTTGGTAAAACATGACAATCAAAACTAGGAACAACAGTTTATCGCAAGCCAACACATACTGACCGACTACTAGACCAATCATCTTACAACCCTGCATCACACAAAGCCACCACAATCAGAACATTAACAAGACATGCACAAATCATATGTGATTCACCGGACGCTCTACAAAACGAAAACAACTATCTCAAACGTGTTTTTGACAAAAAAAACTATAACTCTGACTTTATCAAACGCAACACTTACAAAGCCAACGAACCCAACGAAACGAACAACTCAGTGACAACAGCAACGATACCTTACATCAAAGGTACGTCTGAGACTATCTCTCGTATCTTACGACCATACAACATACGTGTCGCACACAAACCAATCACAACGTTACGACAAGTACGAACGAAAATAAAGGACAAAGAACAACCTAACGAACGACAAGGTGCAGTTTACAAAATAAACTGCTCCGACTGCCACGCCTCCTATATCGGGGAAACTGTCAGGAACTTAAACATAAGACTTACTGAGCACAAACGAGCTACTAAGAAACAAGACAAAACTAATCACATTGCCGAACATCACCGAATCACAAAGCACAACATTGACTGGGACTCGGCAAAATGCATCACTTACAGTACTGACTATAGACAACGGCTTACATTAGAAAGTTGGTATACCAACTTGGAACAAACCCCCCTGAACAGATCACAGCAATTACCGGCACCTTACAAACGACTTATTCACAATACAAAAAAACGATCAACTAAAAACATTACACTTCAAACTAATTCACAATGACAATACACAATTGACACCCACACACTACAACTAAAAACGTCACACCTAAATCACACATCACAACTAAAAATAAAATATTTCACTTCACACTAATCCACAATGACAATACACATTTCCTGCACATTTCCTGTACACACAATACAATGACGTAAGAACCAGACAACAAATACGGCTAACCTGACGTTTACTCCTCATTTGACTCTGAAGATGACTACCGCTAAGGTTGTCGAAACGTCAGTCAACAACAACAAAAACAGTCCTTCTCAGGACTTTATTAACCTGGACGATCATCATTTACAAACATATAACGATACTCCCGGGTTCAAACCATTTACTGAACTAACATAGTCAAGCTCACTGTCTGAATTGAATGTTTGATCGTTTTATAGTAATTTTTATAAGCATGATAGAAACTAAACTACAATCAGATGGAATTTATGGAAATCTTTTACAAATTCATATATTGACATGAATGCTGCTGTCCAAAATGTGAATTTTTTCAATGAGGGTGGAAATTTATGGATAAATTTTAAATGCTTGGCAAAGACGATCTCGCGAGCGACATTTCAGTCATTGATGTTCAAAAGAAAGCCAACATTGTTTTGAGTTTTATCAGCAGAAATTTACATCCAAAATCGTAAGTAAAGGACAAGTGAAGTGTATGCATGAATGTAATATATCAAAGTCAATATGGCGTATGGTAAGCAGATCGATGCTTCTAAAATTGTTGTTGACGAAGGACTTTTAGCTATGATTTCTTTAGTGCTTGGGGAATCGTGGCCGTTATACGGCAGCGAAATCCTACATTCCTGCAAATATATTTCAATGGACAAAAAATCTGTAGCCATAAGGTGCCATACTATTATTTACTTTATCATAAACAAATGTTTGGGGTTTTTCAGTTTATGATCATTCATCATTCAATCATTGGACAGTTATACTACATATTGTTTAAGATTTGAGAAAACTAACATTGCTTACATGAGAAGCTGTTTACTATAACCTGTGATTTTGAGTCTTCTGATCCATGAAGCTTTTTATTTTGATAATTTGACTGGAATGGTATTAAACCTGAGTATTTCACATACATGGAATGTTGTCCCATGTCACATATTGTCCCCTTTTTTAACTGAACACCTCATGTAGAGATGTAAAGGTGTGTTAATCTACGGCTCATACCAGATTGTTTGCCATAAATTCCAAAGGACTATTGATGTATGAAAAGCATTTTCTATAAAGTAAAAATGTCTTTCTATGTATGCAGATAAACCTTGAAACTTGGCAAAACAGCAAAGTATTTTTCATGATCACTAGGTAATTTTTCTGATGATCATTATAATTTCTAAACTAAATTATTTCTGATTTACATTTAAACAAGCTTTGATCATATGAAAAGATATTTATCATAACCAGTAAGCATGACACATGAACCAATTTTAACATTCAAGTAATTATATAATTAAAGACATGTTGGTTACATTCTGTTTGTATTTGCAAATACAATGCTACTAGTGATTGCTATATAGCACACCTTGCATATACTTACAGAAGATAATATTCTAGTGAAATGCCTAATAAACATTTATGGCATTAAGCTGTCCTTAACTGCAAATTTTCACTGTGATAATTTTTGCTTAACCTTTGGAAGAAAAAAATTTTGAGTTTTTTCTCAAAAGGTGAATTTGCTGGCACTGATGTGGAGATGGGTAAAGGGTTACTATAAACTTGCATGGTTTGAAGTCTGAGCTTTTCTATATCTATCAACTGTCACTTGTAGTACCAAATTTCTAACTAAACTCATTACATAGAGGTTTGAATGGGGGTCTCTAGGGGGGTCTATGCCTGACAACTTGGTAGAAATGTTTAAAGACTATATCTGTTTTTGAATAGCATTATTGTAAAATAAATTTTAGGTTCCTAGACATGCTAATGAGCCATATATTTGGCATGATAATGAGCCTAAATATTTGGCAAACATTCAAGTATTGTTCACTTCATTTTTTTTTTGAAAAAAAACGTAAGCAAAATGTGTTGTTTTTACGCAAAAACGATGCCCACAAATACATTTTGTATTGCTCTAAAACGCTGAAAATGGCATTTTCAAGGCTCTGAAATTCAAAATTTCTCAGGGGAGAATGCCTCAGACCCCCCCAGGTGCGGAGCGCCTTCGACGTTTTATGACTGATGCTTAAAACATCCTAGATCCGCCCCTGATGTGAACCCATGAAAATGTTAGCAAGTATGGGTGCTAAGGGAGAGCCCATCGCAACACCGTCCGTCTGGTCATAAAATTTTCCATTAAATAAAAATGCGTCTGTGCTATTGCTATTAAAAACAGTTGTGTGAGCTGTGTCCTGTTTATACTGAACCTGGGGTTGTGAGTAAATTTTTAAGTCGATTGCTAGGTTGATGGTTTCAGTAAGTACACACAACGCAGATTTACAAACATTATGAAACGCTTCTGTGCAGATATTGACATTCGACTAATTTTCACATCATTCAAAATCAAAAACCTTTTCTCATTCAAAGACCCAATCCCTGATTCAATTAAATCTATGGTGGTATATGAATTCAATTGCGCGGGATGTAATTCCCGATACATTGGCGAAACTTCGCGCCATTTATCCACCAGAATGAGGGAACATACCACAACAGACAAAAAACTCTCATATCTACCGACACCTTCTTAAATCTCACTCATGCAAAACCAACTATTCACCCTCTTGTTTCAAAATCATCGACACTGCCGACACCTCATTCACCCTCGAAATCAAAGAAGCAGTCTACATTAACAAAACTAACCCTGACCTCAATGTCCAAGTTTTTAAGTTCAATAGAATATTTAGTTAATAATACGCTCGGACGCTCCTCATTAATTTAACTTATTTCCTTTTAATTGTTGTAATTTATGTATCATATTACTTTTATATAAACCCTGTATAACCTATTATTTCACTCATACTGAAGATGGCATCATGAGATGTCGAAACATGTCTATTTTCCAAAAAAGTTATCGTTAATATTAAATGTGTATTGGCAATAGTGCTTTCACGAAATTATGGAAATAATTAAATTGGATGTTACTTTTCATAAGATGAAATTCAAATCACTTTCAAAAGAAATCAATAGTGCACAACGGAATATATAAATATGTACCCCCAACCCCCAATTAACGTTCTACTTACGCTACTGACCATGGTTTTCACACACACAGCTAGAACAAGGTAACTACTTTTGGCAGTGTTCATATTTTTTTCCAAACACGTCTTGCAAACGGTGAATTGTAAGCTCGTTTACTAAAGAAAATTTGATTGAGCTTGCGCCAGCCATTCCATTTGCTTTGCTTATTTTACTTTAGATTTCACGCCTTTAAAATGTTTTATTTTGATTGGCTCTTAGATCATTTCTTAGTTTTATTAACCAATCAGAAGCAAATTTTTTAAGAAAATTGCACGGTATTTCCTTTTTCATGAACCGTGTTTCTTATTTTTTTCACTGGTATTTACAATAAATTCCACTGCTCTTAATTAACCAATGAGAACTGAGAAATTTTTTATGTATATTATTAAAGCGTAAATCATTATAACCAATCCAATGTTGGCTTCTGACTTCAAAATGAAAATGGCGATTTTAAAAAATAGACAAATGACCTTTTAAGTTCAGTTTAACAATATTTAGCAATATTTTTACCTTTATAAAGAACGTCTTCAGCCAAATGATTTTTCTCGATATTGCGTAAAGCAGCGGCAAGTTCTTCATACCAAAACTGCTTATTTTCTCGTGATTCAAACCAAGACTTAAGCATTTCAAACCCTTGCCAGATCACGTTACGATGATTTAATTCAATTTTTTTTATTTTCGCATCTTTGACATTCAGAAATATTGCCAAATTCTTCCATTTAACAGGAATTTCTTCGACAATCTCTAGCATAATTTTGTAAATTTCTGCAAAAAAAAACGCACATTTAAAAGCAAGTTAATAGCATTTTTTAATTTGGAAGAAAATGTTGGAAATCCTACGTCAACTATATAAATATACATAGCAAGAGACTTTTCAAAATACATGAAAGGTGTGCCATGTTGATTTCAGTACAGATATGGATAAAAATATAATAGGGATGTCAGTAGTAATGTGGCAAAATGCTAGCACCAAATTTGTGTGATCTACATTGGACGTTTTATCAAAGTGCGTTTTACTAAAGTTAAATTGATTCGTAATTTTTTGCATCATTTAAACCGCATACGGTACGTGGCTATAAATTATCAGCCAACACTGATGATTGCCCAACTCAAAATTTGAAATAAAGCCATTTTTTAAAGAATTTATTTATTATTTGTAGCATATCATCTTTACACAAGACATCATCAGACAGGTAACTAATTTACATTTACATATTAGAAATCTAGTTTTGAGTGATACATTACAGTGAGGTGTGATGAACATGATATATATGTATAAAAAATATTATATAAAGTATGTGTGAAAATACTGAAATGGAGTGTGAAATGGACGCAAAACGTTGTGGTATTTAGAAAAGTTCGAGTGGGATAGAAGTGCCTTGGACATTCAGAGAAGGTGTTAGATTTGAGATCAGGAGACTTTCATGGATCATTAAATTAGGAGTGTAAGGTGAGGATGAGATGATAGTGAAGTCGTAAAAGGATGCTGTGTGACCTGATATGTTGATGTGAGATAGGATGCTGGATTTCGTAGGGCATGATGACTGTTTTCCTGTCTGGGGCAAAATTCCCAGGTGCTCTGAGATTCTGGTTTAAAGATGGCGTGTGGTTTGACCAACATACGACGCGTTGCAGCGTCGACACTTAAAGAGATAAACAACACCAGATTTCAGAAACGTGGGAATCTTTTCCTTTGAAAGGAAAGAAGGAGGAAATGTGTGTAGAAGGACGGAAAACAAATCTGATGTTAACGTAAGGGAAGGCAGCGTTGCAGAGGCGGTTAAGTTTGGTGTGTATTTGGAGAGAGTGTGAGCCTGTGTATGGAAGGCAGAAATAGACAAGCTTCTTGGGCACGGTGAAAATTGGCGGTTTTGGGGAAAAGACATTGTTGAGGAAGAGGCAACAGTGTTGTCAAAAAAATTAGAGTGGAAATCATTTGAATCAAAGAGTTTTCGAACTATCTCTAGTTGATTGTGGAAGTTTTCGTAGCTTGAGCAGATGTTGAAAGTACGGTGATTAATGGTAGAGATAAGGCAGCGTTTATAAACGAAGGGGATAAAGCTTTGGAAATGGTTAAGGAGTCCAGTGAATGAGGGTTTCCGGTAAACGGACGTTACGAATTTTCCGTCAGAACATGTGATACTAATGTCTACAAGAGGAGAATGTTATTTTGCTCGGTTTCAGAGAAGGCAGCGTGTTTCGACTTTATTGCAAAGCCATCATCAGAGAATATATAATATATTAATCCTAACACGGTTTTTCCAGTAAACTGCTATAGTAGCGAGAATGGCTGGTGCATACGCAGTTTAAAAATAATTTGACTCGTCTCCAATCCCTGTTGGCGTGGTAGCTCAATAGGTAGAGCGGCGGACTAGTATCCCGAAGGTGTGAGTTCAAATCTCGTTGAAGTCACATCTTTTTCATGTGCATATTAAAAAACCGTGTTAGGATTAATATATGAACAAAAAATTTTCTGTTAATTTGGCTCAATTTAAATTAATTGCATGCAAGGAGCTTCACATATTTTACACGTAAAAGACGGCATGTTGTCATGCCAGTGTTTATTGTCATATGATCAAAATTATGCACGGAAATATTTTGCTCCCATGCTTTATGTCTTCTAAGTTTTTATATTGATTATTAATTTGGTATACGTTTGATATTGTGCGTTAACAAAAAATTGCATTATAAAGAATGTAACGCAAACATGTTCTAAGATTTGAATCTCACTTTATGCGGGAAACTACTTGGTTTCATCAAAGAGTTTTTTGTGGGATAGGTTATTTATGTAGTCAACATGATTATTTTCAAATTTTATTTAAAATAGTTGTGATATTAAAACAGACAATAAAGAAAACAATTTAATTACTTTTCGTTTTTTCTTTCATATTTTTCCCTATAAAACTGTACAATTTTTGTGAAGGAATAAGGAAAGTGAGACACCTGGATGTGCTTTACGTTCGAGGTTTTGTGTATAAAGTTTGTTATAATCAATGCTGATTTTTTATAGTATCTTAATGTCACAAGAAAAACATGTGTTATTTGAAATACTACAACCTAAAATTACACCAAAATTTGCAACGTTTCGCGTTATCTGTGATTGCAAAATGTTCTAACTGCTTAGTTTCATAACAATGAACCACATTTATAGAATCAACAGTTAAACAAAAGTTAAAGAATATTTAAAGAATCCATGTAATTAACTTGACCTAGATTCCAAGTATTTTCACAATTTCACCTCCTTTTGACTATTAAAGAGTTCATCTAATAAAGCTCTAAATCAGGAGCGAGTCTAGGATTTTTTTAAACATCAGTCATAAAACGTCAGAGGCGCTTTGCACCTGGGGGATCTGAGGCATTCTCCCCTGAGAAACTTTGAATTTCAGAGCCTTTGAAATACCATTTTCAGCGCTTTAGAGCAATACAAAATGTATTTTGTGGGCATCGTTTTTGCGTAAAAACAACACATTTTGCTTACGTCTTTTTCAAGAAAATTTCCAATAATGCTAATCCAAAAAAGATATTGTTTTTAAAAATTTCTACCAAGTTGTCAAGCATAGACCCCCCCTAGAGACCCCAACTCATAATTCTTTGTAATAAGTTAATATAGAAATTTGGTATTACAAAAGCTCAGATTTCAAACCATGCAAGTTTATTGTACCCCTTTACCCATCTCCACAAACAGTGCCAGCTACTTCACATTTTAAGAAAAAACTCAAGTTTTTTTCTGCCAAAGATAAAGCAAAAATGATCAGAGTGAAAATATGCAATTAAGGATAGCTTAATGCCATTAATGTTTATTAGGTATTTCACTAGACTAGTATCTTCTGTATGTTATGCAAGGTGTGCTATATAGCAATCACTAGTAGTATTGTATTTGCAAATACAAACAGAATGTAACCAACATGCTTTCAATCATATAATTTCATGAATGTTAAAATTGGTTCATGTGTCATGTTTGCATATCATCAAAGCTCAATTAAAAGTAAATTTGAAATAATTTAGTTTGGAAATTGTAATGATCATCAGAAAAATTACCTAGTGATCATGAAAAATACTTTGCTGTTTCGCCAAATTTCAAGGTTTATCTGCATATATAGGAGCACAATTTTATTTTACAGAAAATTCTTTTCATACATCAATGAGCCGTAGATCAACACACCTTGACCTCTTTACATGAGGTGTTCAGTTAGAAAAGGAGACAATATGTGACATGTGACAACATTCCATGTATGTAAAATACTCAGGTTTAATAGCATTCCAGTCAAATTGTCAAAATAAAAAGCTTCATGGATCAGAAAGGACTCAAAATCACAAGTTATAGTAAACAGCTTATCATGTAATCAATGTTAGTTTTCTCAAATCTTAAACAATATGTAGTATAACTGTCCAATGATTGAATGATCAATGATCATAAACTGAAAAGCCCCCAAACATTTGTTTATAATAAAGTAAATAACAGTATGGCCCCTTATGGCTACAGATTCTTTTTCCATTGAAATGTACTTGTAGGAATGTAGGATTTCGTTGCAATATAATGGACACGATTCCCCAAGCACAAAATAAATCATAGCTAAAAGTCATTCGGCAAGAACAATTTTAGAAGCATCAATGTGCTTACCATGAGCCATATTGACATAAATCGCATCACACACTCGCATAAATTGATTTTGACATATTACATTCATGCATACACTTCACTTGTCATCTCCTTACGATTTTGGATGTAAATTTCTGCTGAGAAATCTCTAACAAAATAATGGCTTGCTTTTCAACATCAATAACTGAAATGTCTCTCACGTTTTCGCCCGAACATTTACAATTCATTCATAAATTTTTCACCCTCCTGAAAAAATTGCAATCTGGACAGCCGCATTCATGTCAATATATGAATTTGTAAAAGATTTCCATAAATTCTATCTGATAGTCGTTTAGTTTGTATCATACTTTATAAAATTACTATGAAGCGATCAAACATTCAATTAAGACAGTAAGCTTGTCTATGTTAGCTCAGTTGGCTATCAGTCAAAATCGGTCAAACCAATCACAGTAACACAAAAACTTAAAGGAACAAATTACACGATAGTACCTAAAGAACAAATTACACGATAAGCTGGGTGGCCGGACTTCCTTATAGGTCCGGCTAACCCGCTTATCGTTTGAGATTATTCCAGATCGTCCACTGTTCTGGCTATTGACCCATGGAATGGCTTAAATAAGCGTTCTTGAACCCCGTTATCGGTCGAACCAGTTGAGCCATCCCGCTTATCAGTCAGCCAGTTAATATAAATCTAGATGCTTATATCTACTGATCTGTTTAATACGGTGGTATTTGTATAGGTTTTCATACATAAAACAGAATTTTGACGATGAAATCCAAAGAATTACAGAACGAAAAGTTAATGATAAAAAAAATTGTAATCATTAAATTTGATAAATTCTTTTTTAACTATAAACATCAGTCATGTGACTGATTTGATATACCTAGATCCGCCACAGCTCTAATTTTTTTTTTTTACCTTCTAATATAATAAGCATACCTTCTATTTTCTCCGTATGAGCGTGTAAGTTTGAAGGGGATTTACTATCAGCAGTATCATCAGAGTTTCTTTCTTTAAAAATGATATAAAAGAAGAGCAAGTGAACCATAGCGTAAAATAGAAGGGTGGTTTTTATAATAAATATGTTTCTAGGAAAAGACTGAGTTAACTGGAGTTTATAAAGTTCATTGGATAAAATAAAAAAGAAACAAACCAAGAATCATTTCTTCAAGTAAATTATTAGAATTTAGCTACACGTTCTTTCCAAGAACAAAGACAAATATCAGTTTTTTAAAGTAAAAATGAAATTTTTTAAAATCCAAGTATTGTAAATTTGGTATTTTTCCTAAAATATTCAAAATAAAAAACTTAAAAATGTAAAACTTTATTTATGTTCTAATTTTTACTTAAGTTTTTTAATTTTTCTAATTTTTACGAACAAAAATTAAAAGCATTTAGTAGAAAAAATTTTAACTCGTCATATAGAGAACAAACAAAATATATTTGTAATAAATATAATTTGCCTTAGCCTTGTATATTTGATAAAAAAAGCTACAAGGCTAATCATACGTTTTTCAAAGCATATGTTTATATTAAGTAAAGAGCAGATACTTCAAAAAAGAACAATAGTTGAACCAGGGCAAAGTCAAACAAATTGTATTTATGCATATAACTTTAGAAAGATTTAGGGAGGAAAAAAGGCTTTCAGTAGTTTCTTGCCCGAAAATGCACACTACATAATAAAGCATAAAATGAAAAGAAAACAAGGAAAAGTCTACCAACAACAAATTTTAGTTGCATGTGTCTTTGTTTCTTAGCAGTTTAATTTAGTTTACTTTATTTATATGTTAAAAGAGATTTAAAATATTTTCGCTCCTATATAAGAGAACTTAACTAGAAAAATGCTCAGGATTGTTAAACGGCCTAAAATAAGATCATTACTCAAAATGAATTCCAATTTCAGCAAAAACAGCTTTAATTAGTTTTATAAATACTCCTAAATTTTTGTTTTGTTCAGTTCTAGCCAAACATAATACAAGAAGAATTCATGATTTGTAAACACAAAAGACTTAAAAAATATTGTCTGAAATTTAAAAACCTCAAAGGTTAGACTTAGAAACGATTATGTATACTATAATATACAAATATAAAGAATAACATACCAATACTGTTCGAAGATTCAGTAACAACAACATGATCCAAAGAAAATAATTTTTTTCTAATTGCCTGCGCCTTCTCATGAAATTCATTTGCTTTGTCATTTTGTTTAGTAGAATGATACACATTAGCAAGATTGTTTAAAGTCGTAGCTACATCAACATGTTCAAGACCAAATGATTTTTGTCGAATTTCCAACGCTTTTTCACAACACTCTTTGGCTTTGGCATATTGGTTGGTATGACAATACACATTACCAAGATTGTTTAAAGTCGTAGCCACGTCAACATGTTCAGGACCTAGTGATTTTTGTGGAATTTCTAACGCTTTTTCATGTAATTCTTTTGCTTTGTCATAATCTTTAGTACAAGGATACACATTACTTAGATCGTTTAAAATCCAAGCTACATCAACATATTCAGGACCAAGTGATTTTTGTCGAATTTCCAACGCTTTTTCATAACACTCTGTGGCTTTGGCGTGGTTGTTGGTCTCACAATACAAATAACCAAGATAGTTTAAAGTCGTAGCTACATCAACATGTTCAGGACCAAGTGAATTATGTTGAATTTCCAACGCTTTTTCATAACACTCTTTGGCTTTGGCGTAATTATAGGTATCATGATACACACTACCAAGATTGGTTAAAGTTGTAGCTACATCAACATGTCCAGGACCTAGTGATTTTTGTCGAATTTCTAACGATTTTTCATAACACTCTTTGGCTTTGGCATGGTTGTGGGTTTCACAATACACATCACCAAGATAGTTTAAAGTCGTAGCTACATTAACATGTTCAGCACCTAGTGATTTTTGTTCAATGTCCAACGCTTTTTGGAGAAATTCTCTTGCTTTGTCATATTCTTTAGTATAAAGGTACACCTTACCAAGATCATAAAAAGTCCTAACTACATCAACATGTTCAGGACCTAGTGATTTTTGTTCAATGTCCAACGCTTTTTCGAGAAATTCTCTTGCTTTGTCATATTCTTTAGTTTGAAGGTATAAATTACCAAGATTGTTTAAAGTCGTAGCTACATCAACATGTTCCGGACTTAGTGATTTTTGTCGAATTTCTAACGCTTTTTTATAACACTTTTTGGCATTGGCATGGTTGTTGGTCTCACAATACACATCACAAAGATAGTTTAAAGTCGTAGCTACATCAACATGTTCAGGAGCTAGTGATTTATGTTGAATTTCCAACGCTTTTTCATAACTCTCTTTGGCTTTGGCATAATTATAGGTATCATGATACACACTACCAAGATTGTTTAAAGTAGTAGCTACATCAATATGTTCAGGACCTAGTGATTTTTGTCGAATTTCTAACGCTTTTTCATAACACTCTTTGGCTTTGGCATGGTTGTTGGTTTCACAATACACATCACCAAGATAGTTTAAAGTCGTAGCTACATCAACATGTTTAGGACCAAGTGATTTATTTTGAATTTCCAACGCTTTTTCATAACACTCTTTGGCCTTGGCATAATTATAGGTCTCATGATACACACTACCAAGATTGTATAAAGTTGTAGCTACATCAACATGTTCAGGTCCTAGTGATTTTTGTTCAATATCCAACGCTTTTTCGAGAAATTCTCTTGCTTTGTCATATTCTTTAGTTTTAAGGTATACATTACCAATGTTATAAAAGGTAAAAGCTACATCAACATGCTCCAGACTTAGTGATTTTTGTTCAATTTTCAACGCTTTTTCAAAAAATTCTCTTGCTTTGTCATATCGTTTAGTATAAAGGTACACCTTACCAAGATCATAAAAAGTTCTGGCAACATCAACATGTTCAGGATCTAGTGATTTTTGTTGAATTTCCAGCGCTTTTTCGTGAAATTCTCTTGCTTTGTCATACTCTTTAGTACAATGGTACACATTACCAAGGTTGTTGAAAGTCGCAGCTACATCAACATGTTCTAGACCAAGTGATTTTTGTCGAATTTCTAACGCTTTTTCATAACACTCTTTGGCTTTGGTAAGTTTGTTGGTCTCATTGTACACATTACCAAGAGAGTTTAAAGTCTCAGCTACATCAATATGTTCAGGTCCTAGTGATTTTTGTTCAATGTCCAACGCTTTTTCGAGAAATTCTCTTGCTTTGTCATATTCTTTAGTTTTAAGGCATACATTACCAATGTTATAAAAGGTAAAAGCTACATCAACATGCTCAGGACTTAGTGATTTTTGTTTAATTTCCAACGCTTTTTCGAGAAATTCTCTTGCTTTGTCATATTCTTTAGTACAATGGTGCACACTAGCAAGATTGTTTAAAGTCGTAGCTACATCAACATGTTCAGGAGCTAGTGATTTATGTTGAATTTCCAACGCTTTTTCATAACAATCTTTGGCTTTGGCATAATTATAGGTATCATGATACACACTACCAAGATTGTTTAAAGTAGTAGCTACATCAATATGTTCAGGACCTAGTGATTTTTGTTCAATTTCCAACGCTTTTTCGAGAAATTCTCTTGCTTTGTCATATTCTTTAGTATAAAGGTACACCTTACCAAGATCGTAAAAAGTTCTAGCTACATCAACATGCTTCGGACCTAGTGATTTTTGCTCAATTTCCAACGCTTTTTCGAGAAATTCTCTTGCTTTGTCATATTCTTTAGTATAAAGGTACACCTTACCAAGATCATAAAAAGTTCTAGCTACATCAACATGCTTAGGACCTAGTGATTTTTGTTCAATTTCCAACGCTTTTTCGAGAAATTCTCTTGCTTTGTCATATTCTTTAATATTAAGGTACACCTTACCAAGATCATAAAAAGTCCTACCTACATCAGCATGTTTAGGATCTAGTGATTTTTGTCGAATTTCTAGCTCTTTTTCGTAAAATTCTCTTGCTTTGTCATATTCTTTAGTACATTGGTACACACTACCAAGATTGTTTAAAGTCGTAGCTACATCAACATGTTCAGGACCTAGTAAAGTTTTTTGAATTTTGAGACACTTCTCAAAACATTTCTTAGCTCTTTCGTATTTTCCAATTTTGTAATACACCATGCCAAGTTTGTTTGATTTCTTAGCTTCATTTTGCTTTTGTGAGTCTTTAAAATGTTTAAAATAGTTGAATTTGAAACTCATTATCTTTCTGACATTTGCACCGCTAGAAAAAAATCATCAAAGCTGATTTACTTTTCATTATAAACAAAAACACAATATATTGTCTTAATTCGTTTTTATTCATGTTGTTTTAATTTTTAATGTTTACCGTCTATTGCCAGACTTGACAATTCAGAAACAATTATAAAGCCAAACAACAGTTAACTCTCTGGTCTGAAAATAGACTGGTTATATAGCTTCAGTAGGTATCACAAAAGTAAAGCCCGATAATATGTGCGACGATGCGACAAATTAGATTCTTGCACGGACAGCTTTCAATAGGACACAAACGCCATTATTTCACGGCCATAGGAAGCATTTTGATGTCAAATTAAATCGAATAACTTGTTCTACCCATGACGTACATTTTTTATTGTTAAAAAAGTCGTGTAACTAAATCATTCGAAAATCTACGTTGGTAAACATTATTCGCCATCATTCCTATTTGGTATTTGAATCTTGTACTGTTGGAAAAGAAAATGATAATCTGGTATAACTTTGTTTATTCCCACTCTGTTATTTTGACGCAATTAGCTCAGTATGTTCTATGTGTTACTTACACACTTTTTAGTAGTGTTTAGTGTGATGTTCTAGCGTCAATAGTGAGCTTTAGTAAGTGTGTACTAATATAGAGTGCGACTTAATTCAAGTACGAGTTCGAAGTTTGACCGTGTACTGGATTGGCAGGAGGAAGTTTGTTGTCGTTGTTGCTTTGTCAAAACTTTATTTTAGTTATAAGAGAAAGACCGAGGTTTTTTACTTGGAAAACCGTCGAGTTTTGCGAAGCAAGTAGCTATAGATACGGCTTTGTTTCTTAATAATATCAACAAATCGGTAACAATGATTTTGCAAGAATATAGGACTCTTTATAGGCAGAAAAAATTTACTAATTTACATTTTATGTTTTATATATTTGTAGTATTTTATTGTTTGTTTGCATTTCTTTGCATTTAAGATGCATGGAAGTATAAAAGGTATACAAACTTTTTTCGTAATTGAATGACATTTTGAAGCTGTTTTATTAAAGCATTTTTCTGTTGCAAAAAATATCCACAAATTAAAACTTTTATGTTGCTAATTAAATAATTACACTGGCTACATGGACAAAGTTAAACTTCACTGATTTAAACGTTGACAAATATTGATGGAGTAGTCTAGAGACTGCCAGTTCTGGCACACCTTGGACTGGTAGCCCGCATACATAAGTCCATGACAAAAAAGCGCACAGGATTGCTAAGGCCAAACCCTGGACAACGGCAAATCCAAAGACGGACGGTACACCCTCAGCGCCCCACGCGGCTCTCCGTCGGGGGTCTATCAGTTAGAGAAATATTCTTGCCTAGAGTATATCCAAACATTTGACAGCCATGAGGCATGGCAAGAACAAGTGTGCGTGGTTATTACCCGGAATACTCAGCACATGTTGGCAAAGCTCCATAGCTGAATACTGTGGACTTCATATGAGGGGATTAAGGGAAGGTGGGTGACTTTCACAACCATGTCGTAAGTGTGAGTTCGGAATTCTGGCAGAAACTATCCTTTGCCAAGCCTGTGGTGCAAAGAGGGTGCATCATAAGCTTCGACCAGATCCCATGGATGGAGCTCTACATTCGGAAAAACACAGAAGGCGAAAAGCGACTTTGAGGTCAAAAAAGCGTCTTCGGCAAGACGATGGAGAACCTCCGAAATCGTGTCGATGTGAAGCTTCTCCGGCCAAGCGAGAACGAGAGACTCCACAAACTTTTTGCCAATCCAACATTCAATATAGATCGCATTCAACATTCAACATTGCCAATCCAACATCTCATCTTTGGCGATGCGGGAGAAGTTCGCAGAAGTTCACATGAATAAAGGTAGTCTGCTGCTCAACCGGCCGGTCTTCGTGGGCATGAGCGTTCTCGACCTCTCGAATCATCTGATGTACGACTGGTACTACAACTATCTCAAGGCGCAGTACGGGCTGGCTACAGAGCTCCTCTACACCGACACTGACAGCCTTGTGCTGGAGATCCAGGCTGAGGACGTGTACGCCAATATGAGGCGCAACGCCAGTCAGTACGACACCAGCAACTACCCCAAAGACCATCCGCTCTTCAGCATTGCTAACAAGAAGGTGCTGGGGAAAATGAAGGACGATTGCGCTGGGGCGCCCATCACCGACTTTGTGGGACTCAGGGCCATGATGTACTCTATCCTGAAAGCCGATGGTCTCAAGGAGCGCAAAGCCAAGGGCGTTAAAAAGGCTGTCGTGAAAAAGCATATCCGTCATGCCCAGTACAAAGAGGCACTATTCAAAGGAAAGCGTTTCCGCCAAGGTATGGATATGCTGCACAGTCGCGGGCGTAAGATCTTCGGCGATTATGTAAACAAAACATCGTTGAATCCGCTGGACACGAAGCGCTGGATCGCGGCCGATGGGATCTCTACCTTAGCATACGGGCATAGAGAAGCCGGTGCCATAGGCGAAGAATTTGATGCCTTCGTAGAAGAGCTGCTCCACCTCTAAGCGGAAGGCTCCGTGCGTGTAGTACAAGGAGTGAGCGTTACAGTGAAAGCTTCGCTTTCATAAAAAATGTGACAGCAAATAAAAAAGGCGACAGCAAATAACAGCGAGACAGGACTCCATCGCCTAAGCCAGGGTGTTTCGATCCCAAAGGGCACCACTTGGAGCTCCTCGTGCACAAACGCGCACTTGGGCCTATCGCTCAAATAATACAACACAGGCTTCCCACCTTTAACTAAAGCCCGCTCGACCTGGTGGCAGGTCACACTCCAGATAGGATCGGTCGCCCTACGCCGTTCGCCACTCTCGAGTTCGCTAGGCGCATACAAATACCGCACCATAACATCCGATGGCTAGCGTCGCTCTTTGAAACCAACTGGACGAAGCGCCGGCGAGGGCAGTCTGGCCATAACGCTCCTCTTCCGAATAGCAAGAGAGGGTTTTTCACCCGTCATACGAGTAGTTTCATTATTGAGCGCTTTAACCACCTCAGGAAATCTTGATACCCATTCTTTGTTCCGAGTTCCGGTTTTAGCTAGCTCGTGATGATACTGGTAACAGAATAATCGCTCTGCCATAGTTCGATTAAATCCTTTAACGATCCCCTGATTTCTATGAACCACGACCTTACCCCGTCGAATCGTGACACCATTTTCATAAAGTGATTCACCGCGGATAGGACTACGCTTGTTGTTGCTGCCATGTTTAAACATCATGACCAAAGAACCTTCTATCTAATTGGAGGTACAAGCCACTGACTCATTTACCGAAGGTGAACCATGGCGACGACTCTTGACACTTCTCAAATCTTTGACCCTACATCATTAATGGCAGGTTTCTTCCCCTCCTACACATGTTTGGCTTGGGTGCCGGTGTGTCGCCGTCGGAGCTGCAAAAAGCGATGAGCGACCCGATCAAATCACAAATGCTCATGCAGCGTGGAGGCTTTCCTTGGGCGTTGGCGGAGTTGAGCCTGCTCCCCATGCTGAGAGGAAAGGGGGCGGCACACCAGATCGCCAACTAAATAAAGGCGCACCCTCCTGAACGACAAACTGCAACCATGATTTGCAGGGGATTGGCTGTACCCCCAAGTCTGTTGGGAGCCGCAACCAGGATGGCCCCATACGCGAAGAATGCCACTATTCTCTTCGCCCTCAGTGGGCTCAGCTCGCTTGGAGACACATCGTTAACAGTATCTTCGGCGCGGGTATTCTTAACAGATCATGTCTGACCCCTACCGCGTGACCACTACCGCGTGAAATATGTGCCATCCAGCGGACTAAGGGCGGCGCAAAAAGATTGAGTGCTGGAAAGCCTCGCAAGACGACGGGAACAGTTCGAAGAGCACCCGCAGCGCCAAGGTCGACAACAAGACGGAAGACGGCGGCGTCGAAGTGCGCAGCGCCTAGAACAGCAGGAACACGACAGAAGACCATGGGGCTAACGAAGAATAGCGGTTTGGATGAATTCAAGAGCATGCTCCTGGATGCTGCAAAGAGCACAGGCAAAAGAGCAGCAAATCGTGCAAAATCGAGGGACATTTCTTGGTTGAAATCGTCAGCCACAAGTTTTGCACCCAATGTCTTTGCTTCGGCGCCCGCGGCAGCTTCAAATTTCCATTAGTCTATCAGCAACATTATCTCCCCGGCCTAACGGAGCGCGTCCTCGACCCCGACGAGCGCCCACATCGTGCAGTCGTTCAACATTTAGAGCGGTGCATATCTTTCCGAAATTGATTTTCTGCTGTTATTTCCCCCCCCCCGGGTCAGTTGTCCCAACGCCATCACAGGCGCCTGCGCCTCGTGTTCTTTCGAGTGTTATCGTGTGCCATTCTAGCACTTGCAGTGGCAAATACCCCGCTATCCACAGGCTTTAATTTTACGAAAAAAATGGTTTGACGAGCTTCTGCCTTCACTCAAAAAAAGGGGCAAAATATTTTTCTATTGGGTCAGAGCAATTTTGGCGAGAGCTTCTTCATGAAACGGCTCCTTGCTCACGTTTGTCCAAATAGGCTGTACGTCATATCGAGCACGTCCGCTGATCAATATATTCAACCTAACACGGTCTTGAAGCATTATTCCGTCATGCCTGAATCGATCAAGGATAAGAGTATAGAATCGAAGTCCTATGTCATTATTGACGACATCTGCGTCATGAATCTCAAATGCGGAACGCAGAGGGAATGCCTCTATAAGTTCTTTACGATGTATAGCTATCA